CCCCGCCACCACCCCCTCCGCCCGCAGGCCATGCCCCAGCACGGCCCAGCCCCGCGGCCCCCCGCAGCCTCATCGGCGCGCTCCTAGAGTACAGTGAGCTGGAGCGGGCGCGGCGGGCGGAGCGGGCGCCGAGTACAGTGACAGTGACGTGGAGTGTGAGCTCGGCGCCGCGCTGCCCTCCTCCAGGCGCTCCAGGCTGGCGGTGCTGACGCGAGCCTCACCTGCCCCGCCCCGGCTCCGCCAGGGGCTTGTTGACGCTGCCTGACCGCCTCTGGCCGCCTCTGGCCAGCGGAGGACTCCCACGACTTATCGGCCCGCGGCGTGGAAGTTACCGACGCGTCGGTACACAGCACCATGCGCTCTAGCGGGGCCGCGGCCGGCCGGGCCGGGGAGGTCGACAGGTGCCTCAGGACGGCTGCTGTGTGTGCCCGTTTTGATAACGAGTGGAAAAGTATGGGAGGGACACTACTTGGCGCGCTCGCGCTCACGCTCACGCAGCCCAGCGCAGCGCCAGACGCACAAGGAGGCCAGACGGCCGGACGGCAGGGCGGCGGGGCCCCAGGGCCGCGGGCCACGCGACCCGCCACTAACTGACCGATAAACCCCAGGAGGCGCCGCCGCAGCGCCGCACGCACTGGGCCGGCATCGGCATGTGCTGGCGGCCCGACGCCGCCCCCGCAGGGCACACCGGGTCCCTACCGCTTGACGCTGCCCGAGCCACAGCTGCACTCTGGAAATAGGCGCCCAGTTCGCCCTTCGTTTCCCCTTCCGGTTTTCCCCCGACTATTTACATCACTTCGACATCATCCTCACCTGCGTAGTAGTCGTACACTACCCGGAAGTCGGCATCATGAACCAAAGAAAATCCGACGCCTTTATTTTGTCCGTGGCGCGCAGCCCGCCTCCCGATGTCAATCAGTCATATCGAGACAAAAACAACAACACAGCGCCGCGCCGGCTGCGTCCGCGGCGGGCGGCGTCTCCTCTATGGGCCCGTCTCCCTCGCGCCCGACGCCGGGGACGGCCGGGCTGCGTGCGCGGTCCTCCTCCGCCTGCGCGCCCCGGGTCGCGACGGGTCACGAGCGTTTCGCAAGGCCCGATACGGCTGTCCGCGGCATTCCTCCGGACAGCCCGCTTCTGGCGCGGAAGGGTTAGTCGAGCCCGAGCAGCGAGTCCGTCCAGACAGACCACGCCAGACGAGATCCCCACGAAGATGGTGTGCCAGCGCGTCCTCCTCTGCGCCCTCGCGTGTCTGCTCCTGGTGGCAGCAGGTTAGTCAAGGCACAACGATTAGCGCTGTGACGCCAATCGATCAAATCGCAAGGAATTTGATCGTCATTTACCAAAACAAATTGAACTGCAAAAATGTAGGAATTTTGTTGTACTGCACACAATTCACACAGAGTGGCTCATTGAGCCGGATACTCTGAAAACCGGTGCCGATCTTGGATACAGCCCCCCCCTCCCCTTTAAAAAAATGTTCGAGTTTTGTCTGGGAGGAGGTAACAAACAAAACACCCTTCAGGAGTGTTGCTCCGAGGTGGAGATCTCAAATCACCCACACGGTCCGCCCCCCTCACTTATCTGTTGGTGCCGACTGCAGCCGCCATTTCGGGAAAAACAACAAAAACGACGCGAGCGGAGTGGGTCTGCGGGCTCCGGAAGCGTTCCGCTGCCTGACATACAGTGGCCGCCCAGCCTCGCACCCCGGACCACTTAGTTCAATCAGGGCTAGGAATAACACGTGAGCACCACCTGCAACACTTGCAAGCTTGCAAGGGTGCAATATGCCAGGTGGCTGATTCACGCCGCGCACTTTCTTATACTGTACCGCATGCACGGGTGCGCGCGGGTTTGCCTATCCTCGCTACGTACGGCTCCTCGCTGTAGTACAGTATCTCCGACCACGCGCGGCGTGAATCATCCACCTGCTCTGTCAATTCAAATGCATACATTGTATACATTAAATAAAGCGTACATGAGGTGTATACTTTAAATAATGTATATGTGCGCTTTTATAAATGCGTACCGTACATGCCCGACATGCCTATGTACCGGGTGATTCAGAGAAGACGCAGGTGCGGGCGGGTTTGCCTTGCCTATCCTCGACTCGGCGGGCGCACGGGTCCAGGTCTGGGGAGAGGTGAGGAGGGGACCCGTGCCCCCGCCGAGTCGAGGATAGGCAAACCCGCGAGCACCTGCGTCTTCCCTGCATCACCCGGTACGCTTTTAAATGCATACATACTACCAATGTCCGCATTTAGAAAAGCATACATGGCATGTACACATTATTTAAAGTATACATGTCATGTACGCCTTACTTAAATAAGTATACAAATGTACCGTGTGTAACTGTGAATAGGTATGCAGCAGTTTTGCGGGATTGCATACTCAATATGGCCGCACGGGTCCATGGCCCCTTACGGGTGTAAAGAGTAGGCAAACCCGCAACACTACTGCGTATTCACAGTTACACCCGGTACGCATTTCAATTGACAGAGCGAGAGCGATGCGGTCCCGGAGCGTGCGAGAGCCGGGGTGTTGGTTCGGGCTGACACATTGCATTTACCTTGATTTGCCCTTTCCAGTGCGCGGTGACTGTGGTGACTACAAGGAGGGACAGAAGTGGCAGACCGGGCCCCCAGACACCTGCGCAGAGTACACCTGCAAGAACGGCAGCATCAAGGGCAAGACGTAAGTAGAACTAGATGGGTTTGGCAAGAGAGTTGCGTAATGTCTATGAACGCGCATGACCTACGCTTTGATCAGTCGTTCTGTGGCTCGCACATGTCGTTAGCAAACAGAACGTACAGATTTACCCGATTGCCCGTCCACATACGTGGCTGTACTGTACGTGCGTGCGGGAGCTTATCAGCTCTGCATAGGCAACCCGGCCACACAAGCGGAAGTGGGCGGGGTCAATCAGCCTAGTGTCCGGGGCTGCTTCCGCGTGAGGTTCCCACTTCCGGCCTCCGTGCTTAGGGAGAGTAAAGCAAACATGGCAACATGTGGTTAGAACTCTCACAAATTCGGCTCCGAGCGGACAGTATGTAAAAACCTTTTATTTCTGCTTCTCGCAGCTGCGCGCCCGTGTACTCGGAAAACAGCAAATGCAAAGTGAAGGAGGTCCCGGCCGGGGCCATCTACCCGAAGTGCTGCCCCACCATCGACTGCCCCTAGGCGCGCGACGCGGGCGTAGCCCCGGGCGCAGCGCCCCCTCAGCCGACCCATTGTACAGTAGTGCCGGTCCCGGCCAGGCGCTATAACCGACGAACATTTAAGAACAAAATACACGAATTGTAAATTGTAACCATCACAACGTGCGCAAAGCCCACGTGACATCAAGATAAGGTCTAAGGACCTTTGGTCATCATGTTCACATGAAAAGGGAATCAATAACTTTGGACTCACCTGTTTCTTATAGGAGTCGTTTGCCGAGAGCATAGTGAAAGCAATGGCACGATTAAATGAGAAAAAAAGGAAATTATTGTGCAATTATACATTTTCGATGCCTTGACTGGCGTTCATTCAGGTTTTCTAAAATAAACTTAACCACAATTTAAAGGTGTCTTAAAAATTACTTCAACTTCACCCCTGATACATAATACATAAATGTACACGCTACCTCCCAAGTCAATTGTTCTCGGTTGACGCCCTGTCCAACCACCCCAAATGCAAGAAGTACTCCAGGGGTTTGGTTTTGTGCCCCGCAGATGCCCCACCTACAAGGTGCACTGGAAGTGCAAGAAGCTCCCCGTCGCCGAGGGCGCCGTTTTCCCCAACTGCTGCCCGCGCTTCGAATGCCCAGAGAACCTGGACGACTAGACTGGCGACTAGCGGGAGCGGGCTGAGCCACTGATCCTAAGCATGTTCACGTTCACTGGTAAAACAAGTGTTTAATGTTAAACGCCAATTGATATTTAAGTTCAAGTGAGCATTTTCTCAACTCATTGTGGTGTTTAACTAGGTTAAAGGTCAATTGGTGTTTAAACTTTAAACACTTCCGAAAAGTATAGCACCGGCACGCCATATGGTTCCTAGGTTTGTGTGTGTCCAAGTGTGCAAAATCTAAACGTTTACAAAACGTTTAAAATGTGCACACCTCGCAAGCAACTTGAGCTAAACACCATGTAATGTTTAAAATCATGACTTAAACACGTTGGTGTCTAAATTATTCACCCTTTTTTATCAGTGTTTGATATCAAAAACGTGATTAAAGACATGTGCACCTTGATCGTCGCCAAAAACCACTTTCTGTCTCCCGGGCATCGTCTTAAACAATGACGCCCACAAAATTGAAGACGTCATTTTAAATAGTCTGAGAGCACGTCACGCCCGCCCCTAAACACTGCAGCGTCCACCACTCTCTGGGTCGCGCTGCCGCCGGGAGCGGGACAGACACAAACAACGACCTCCCCTGCCTCCTGGATGTACGGGAGGTGCGAGCGCTGTCGGGCTCGGGAGGGGGGGGGGGGGCAAAGGGAGTGCCACCATGAGAGAAGGGCGCCACAGTCATCACTTCGGCAATCACACTGACGTCATGTGGGCCATGTCATGTACGTCAGGGGCGTAGAAAGGGTCGGACGACAGGGGAGAACAAGTTGCCAACAGACAGAGGTTTTCACCCTGCAAAAAAACTGGCAAGCTGACCGGTTACGAGACAGTCCAGCACGAAAAGAAAACTCAAAATACCAGGTGGCTGATTCACGCCGCGCACTTTCGTAGTTATACTGTACCGCATGCACGGGTGCGGGCGGGTTGCCTATGCTCGCTGCGCTGCCCACGGCTCCTTATGACCCCGCGCGAGTGGGCAACCCGCCCGCGCGCGTGCATGCAGTAAGTATAACTACGAATCAGCCACCTGGGCAAACAGAACTTGTATCCTCATTTAAAATCAAAATAATACTGAAAATCTGCTCATCAAAACTGAAGTGCTGATCGGCAATATCCAAAGGAAAACCTACAATTTAACAACAGTCTGGCGCTGTCAATTATTAACCAGTAGAGGATTGTGAAATTTTCGTTGTATATTGTGGGGTGAAGGCACTAGAATAACAATATGATATTGTTATTTCAAAGTACAACGCTGTATTGTACAGCAAGTAGCTGTAGGTTTTTCTTACAGTGCGAATCTTGATCAAAATCGGAATGTTCGGGTAGAAACAGAGCGTGTCTAAAATGAGTGGGACTTTACGGCTATAGCTGAAATTGCCCTCTTCTCAGCCGGCTTTCTAGGAGCGACAGGGAGGGCGGTCGCACCCCCTGTACACGTGGAGCAAGCGCGTGTCGCGATCCTGGGCCTGGGGCACGTTTCGTCCAGCCGTTTGTGGTCGCGTCATGGTCCAGCTGACGTGGGAAAGGCAGTGCGACGCAAACACGAGGGCAGGAGGGGCCAATGCGAGGGTAAATAAATACCAGGCCTCCCGCCCAGCAGCGACGGTGAGTCATGAGCCATGGCAGAGCAGCGGCAGCGCACCCTCCTGGCGGGGCCGGGTAGTCTAGAGCAGGGCGAGGAGAGGCCTGGAGGGAGGATTCCGCACAGGGGCTCCGACACAATACCAGTCAGCCATGAGTGCAACAAGGACAGACGTGACCACCCCCCTGAGCACCCCGTCAGTGGGAGGCTGGGCGGCCGCACAGCGTGCGCACGCCCCCGCGCGCGTCTCTGGGCCGCCCAGCACCGTGTGGCCCTTGGCGGTGCCGTGCTCCGAGCCTCGGGGATTTAAGAAGTAGTGTACTTGCAATAATCAGTGGCAGTAAACACTGATAAGAGCCCGGCTGGCCAGCGGGCTGCCGAGGGCTGAGCAGGGCGGTGCCGGGGCTCAGTGCTCCAGAGCTCCCTGCCGCAAGCAGCCGCCACCGGCCGCAGACCTACAAGTAAGTCGCCACCCCGCTCTGCTGCCGTGGAAGTGAGACGAGAATGAATCTTTTCACATAAACGCGTCGAATGTCGCAATGAAGAGTATCCGAGTTTGGACTCACTGGCACGCACCTGATTGAAATTAGGATAGGGAGTACGTTTACCAAATTTGGAATTCCCTCTGTTACCATCTGATAGCCATCGCCTTAGGGATTATGACGAGTTTACTGCAGTTAAGTGACAGCAAATTTTGCGATTTTTTTTACAGTGATTTGTGATAGTGACAATGAAAGTGGCAGAGCAGTAGTAGCTCAGGCTCAGAGGTGAGGAGCACGAAGTTGCCCTTCGCCCTGTTTCAATGGCAAGAACTTTTAGAGCTATCATATAATCACAAATCTTATGACTCTTTAGATATGAATAAGGCCTGTACAAAGAAAGAGGGGGGCTGCTCTGGGCTGGGCTCATGGGCCAAAATGCCTCATTTAATCTTTGCAATCAAGCGGTGTTCGCCCTTCAAATTATACGACC